CATGAGGATTTTGTCTTTGTGGATCTTAGGTGGCTTGTTCTCTTATCAAAGTTATTTCAGTTGTCCAGGCAAACATGGCTGAGATTCCGAACTGCAGGAATGAGGATTGGAGAGAACATAAAGAGAATTTTAAGAAGTTATTAGATATGGTAATCATGTGAGAATTGGAAGAAAGAGTAGAGTGGAAGGTAGAATTGAGATGGGGGACACAGGAAGAAGAGTAGATATTTATTTATTTATTTATTTATTTGACTGAGAGAGGGAACACAAGCAGGGAGAGGGGAGAGGGAGAAGCAGGCTCCCCGCCGAGCAGGGAGCCCGATAATATATATATTATAAATATATATATTTATAAAATAATATAAAGGTATGCAATGTAGGGGTCATGACCTGAGCCGAAGGCAGATGCTTAACAACTGAGCCACCCAGGCGCCCCAGGAAGAAGAGCAGATTTAAAAGAGGAAGATATAAATTAAGTTAACAATATTGAAGACCTGTGGGAAAATCTCATGAAGCTATCTAGCAGATGGTTTGAAAGAAGAGTCTGGTGCTCTGGAAGTCATTGGCATTTAGAAGTTTAAAATCATGATTGTTGATAATTGTGATGACCAAAGGAAGAGTGTATATAGAATGAAAGAAGATTCTTAGAGATAGAACCCTGGGGACACTAACATCTGTAAGGAGCTAGCAAAGCAGTCCCTGAAGCTGACCAAAAAGTTGCATTGGATAGGTGTATCTAACATTTCAAGGATGAAGATGATGTGATTGGTCAGTAGCGTCACATTGCACAGGAAGTGGAAGGAAGAGAAAACATTCAAATTTGTGGTATTAGGGATTTTGACCAGAATGGGTTGTAGGAGAGAGCCCTCTAGTGGAAGGGAGCATGGCATTTGAGGAACTGGAAGGAGCATGATGAAGCTGAAGCTCGGAAAAGAATGTGAATGAGACTGGCATTTTTCATCCTTTGAATACAATGTGACCAGTTTCTTAGTGGAAAGAAATTAATGGGGGGTTAATTTTAGTATCTCAGTGTAAGAGAGTTTTGAAAGTTATATGTGACTTTTTCTTTTCTTCTGCCCTGTGAAAGGTGAAGAAGAGGTTTTGAGGAGCTAAAAAATGTGGAGAAGGATTTTTTTTTTCAGCAGTGGGAGGGGAGTTAGGGAATTTTTCTCCCAAGGAGAAGTGCCAAAGCAGACAGTAAAGAAAAGCAGCAGGGCCTTTTTTTTTTTTTTAAGATTTTTAAAATTTATTTGACAGGGAGACACAGTGAGAAAGGGAACACAAGCAGGGGGAGTGGCAGAGGGAGAGGGAGAAGCAGGCTTCCTGCAGAGCAGGGAGCCCAATGTGGGGCTGGATCCCAGGACCCTGGGATCATGACCTGAGCCGAAGGCAGACGCCTAACGACTGACCCACCCAGGCACCCGCAGCAGGGCCTTTTGACACCTAGATCAACTAAAGTTCCAAAGGCTTGGACCAGGCACAGAAGGATGAGTGTTAGAGGAAACTTACTTATCAGCAAGCTGCTAATTAAGAAAAATCACTGCAAAATGTTATTATTGTACATACTTAGTTTTTATAGTGCCTCTTCTGGAAAAAAACTATTTGCTTTATTACTTTGTTTTCTCTGTTATATGAAAACTGATATTAAATATACAGGGAAGACATTATTTCCTCCTCACACAAAAGACTGGATAGGGAAGATATTCTTTATTTCTTTCCTTTTGTTTTATTAAATTAATAATTACGCATGGAGAAAATTGTGGAACAACATATGTTAACATTTAACATTGCTTACCTCAGGGGAATTGACAAGAGAAGGCTGAAATTAACTTCTTTTTGCACATATCTGTTGTTTAACTTCATTACAGTGTTTTTAAAACCAGTAAAGCATGTAGTGATTATAGGGAAAGGCTAAAAATAAAATGAATTAATACATATTTGTAGGAAGATTAAGAAAATAATATAAAGGTATGCAATGTAGGAAGAGTCTGCCACTCTAAATTCCTACTGTGTATCTTTGGCTATGTGTAAGCTTTTGTTACTTACTATACAAAACAGAATGTACATTATGTAAAAATATATTCGTAAGACTATATACTTCTTCATTTCTATCGTGGGCACTTTTCCATATTGATACATACCAATTTATTTTTTAAACATTGCATAGAATTTTGAAGACTTTGGGGGGAACTTTTTTTTAATTGAAATATATACAGAGAAAAGTATCCAAGCTTAATGACTTTTACAAAGTGAAGACACATGTATAACTACCATCCAGATCAAGATCAGTAACGATGCCAGGGCGCCTGGGTGGCTCAGTACGTTGGGTGTCTGCCTTTGGCTCAGGTCGTGATCCCAGGGTCCTGGAATGGAGCCCTGCATCCTTCAGGGCTCCCTGCTCAGCGGGGAGTCTGCTTTTCCCTCTCCCTCTGCTCCTCCCCCTGCTCGTGGGCTTGTGTGTGCGCACGCGCTCTCTCTCTGTCTCTTGCTCTCTCTCTCAAATAAATAAATAAAATCTTTAAAAAAAAAATCAGTAATGATGTTGATACCCTTTCTTCATACTGCCTCCCAGTTAATTAACCTTCCTATCCATAGGTAACCACTCATATATAGATAAGTTGTGTCTGGTTTTTAACTGTATATAAATTGAGTCATACAGTCGTGTGTGGCTTTTTTATGTTCGTGGCTTTTTGGGGGGCCTATATTATTTTTGTGAGATTTATTTATGTGGTTCCATGTAGCAGTGGTTTATCCCTTTTCTATTTGGTATGGTAGTCTAGTAGAATGCATAAATCATGATTTTTATGTATTCTCCTATTGATGGGTGTTTGAGTTGTTTCAGATTAGGGATTATTATGAGTAGTGCTTCTGTAGGCCTGTATGTGTACAAGGTGTACATGCCTTTTGCCCCACATTTCTATTGAGTATGTGCAAATTTCTGTGCTGTATATCAAGGAAAGAAATTGCTAGACCATATGGTATCCATATGTTCACCTTTAGTAGATACTGCCCCGTTGTTTCTCAAAGTGACCCTGACATCTTACCCCTCTGTCAGCAGTGTGAGAATTCCATTTACTCTACTTCCTTGCCAGAACCTGGGATTGATGGCTTTTTGTTTGGTTTGTTTTTGTGTTAGTGTTTGTTTCTGATGGCTGTTTTAGAACATTTTAAAAGTCTGCCCAATATTTTATTATGTGAATAGACCATAATTTAATCTCCTTTTGATGGGCATTTGCCCTCTTCCTTCCCTACAGCACAGCCAGAACCTGAACAGCTCCAATATCTAGTGGGCTCCGTGACCTGACTGTGTGCAGAAGAGTCAATCCTGGAAGTTTCAGAATCTCTGTATATTTTTTTTTTCCTTAACAGATTTTTCTCAAATTTCCTCTGTTTCTGAGTAGTATGGTACCAATATGAAGAATCCATATAAAATAGTTTCATTTTATGACATGAAAACCAATTTTGATTTTATGGTGGTGAATGGTTTTTTTTTTTTCACTCCTGTTTAAAAGTAATGTAAAAAGTAGTATAATGTCTGAAACTAGACTTTTGGTGATAGCATTGCTAAACAGCCAATTTAGTTATCCAGAATAATTTGCATTCTCTTAGAACAAGCATACCGTGCTAGCTGCCGCACCTGCATCACATAGATCCTCAGTCCACCGGGAAACTACCGTGTGAACTACTTGAGAGTGTGATCACTTAGGTTTTGGAAAACTGTTTTGACTTTCACCCTTTGAAAGTGAAAGGTATTTCCAATCAGAGAAACATAATGCAAACCCCAGCCTCTCTTTTAACAAATCTCCTCTCCCCAATTTCCTCCCAATTTTCTTGTAACATAGGTTTTTAAAGTATGAAACTCTGGGGGCTTGCTTTTAATGACTTAAATGTGATCACCAGACCTCCTGCTCCTTCTCATGTTAGGAGATGTGTTACTTCCTGATAACCACTCTTCCTGTTGTGCATTATAGCTTTAAAGAGTTGTTGGCACAGGTGGCATTCAGTACCATCCAGTTACCATACGTAATTCCTTGGGAGAATTTAGATACTGTTAACCCTCTATGATAGCTGAATAGTCTTTTGGAAAGTGCCTTATAGGCGCATAAGATAGTATTATCTTTCCTATTATTCTTTGCTTTTGCCAGTTGTATGTTGAATTATTCATTTTTGGAATAGCTATAATGACCAGAGAAGCATGTGATTCTCATACTGTTAAGTTTTAGTCATGCTTTTTTACTTTCACATGTGGAGGTTTTTCACATTTCTAATTAATTGCTGTCAAGAACTTCTTAGAGGTAGCTGAAAACTACTGCTTTATATTCTGTTCAGTTTTTTTAGAAGTCTGTGTCTTAGAAAAATGTCTTTACCTCTTGAGATTTCTTAAGAGGTCGTATTGCAGCATAAGACTAAAATTCTTCCAATTCTTTGTTATCTGTAGTAATAGTAACGAGTCTGAAAATGCCTATATGAATTAACAAATAAGCCAGAAACTTTATTGAAGATGCCGTTTTCAATGACTTCTCCTTTCTCAGGCCCTAAATCTTTTTTCTCAGTGTTGATCATGAATAGCAAAACTTGCTGGCTTGATTTTTTTTTTTCCCCCTTTCTTCTCAGTATCTGGTAAAAGTTCTAATATTCTCAACCAGGATTGGGCTGCAGGTGGTGGTGGTAGGAGTACAAATCTAATCAACTTCCGACATATAACTAGTAATTAGGAATCTCTTCATTTATTTCACATGAACCTAGCTGATGGATTAATTTTAGAGACCACTTTCACGTCTTGGTTAATAAAATGCTTTGACCTCTAGTAGATCATTTCTGAGTATATTCTAGACAGTGCAGTCAGTCTTTACAAAGAAATCTGGTATTACAGAGTTTGCTCGAGTTGCTTCATTATAGAGTAACACAGAGAATAAAGCACCCAGTAACCTAGAACCAACAGAACCCTCAGCTTCCCTGTACTTTCAGTACCTGCAACAGCTGTTTCTCTTTCTCCACAGGTATCAGTCAGAGCCGGATCTCTCATTGGCTGTTGCAGCAGGGATCAGACCTGAGTGAACAGAAGAAAAGAGCATTTTACCGATGGTATCAACTTGAGAAGACAAACCCTGGTAAATATCATTTCCTTATTTTATTGCATCTGAAACAAGACAAATGTAATTAATTACTTTATTAAATCTGTGCTGACTGATCTTCACTAAGGTGATTTCATACTTTACTGTTATTCCTTTTTCCCAAAGAGCACTCTTGTCTCTGGCCATACCACCCTGAATGTGCCCAATCTCGCCCAAAGAGCATTAACTGTAAAACCTAAGCCCTGATTATACTGTTTTTTAGTTTAGTGTCGAATACTATCTAGTCATTTTCACTCATTCCTCCAAGGCAACTCTTTGTTTCCAGGTTATATGCTATTTCTAATGATACTTTGGAAGACAGGTCATAATTGTCAGTGGCTGTTTTCTTTTTTTCGACTGTAGGTACACATGTAAGATCACATACCTGGTTTTTTATTTTTGTAAATGTTAGTAATGTAAATTTCATACTTTTATTTAGTTATTGCTATACCGTGTCCAGTGATCTCTGCTAATGATTTTCTATTTCTAATTACCTGGGTGATGAGCATGTCTTTGGACTTTAGGGTGAAGCTGCCCTGATAACTTTGGAAGCAGCAATAGGTTGGAAAGTAGAATGAAATCTGAAGGAAAAAGATCACCAAAACCTTTATGTCTGAAGTTGCCAGAAATAGGCAAGATCTATGGTAGGATACTTTTAACAAGTGGTATATAAAGTCTGAAGTTGTGTGGCAACATGTCTTTCATCTATACATTACACAGACTGGTGGCGATGAGAACTGTCTTCTGTAATACTACAGCATTAAAGCCTTTGCTTATTATAGATTAAATCATCAGTTGGAATATTGCATATTGAAGACTTAGCTAATAATAGCATTGACTCTGAGGTGGAAATAATGTTAGAGAAACATATTTGTGTGTATGTGTGTGTGGTAAGATTTTTTTTTAAAGATCACATTCCTGATCTGAAAGCCCCAGGCAGAACAAAACAGAACAGACCATTTCAGCCTCTCTACAATGAGTTTTTTTTTTATCTACCCTGCCCCCCAGTTTCTATTTTGAAGTGTTTCAGATGTACAGAAGAGTTGAAAGACCAGCACAGTGAATACCTCTTTACTCTCTTCTTAGATACAGTAATTGTTAACATTTTGCTATATTTGCCTTATCACTAGAAAATAAATAAATGAATAAATTTAAAAATCTATGTATGTATGTATATGCATGTAAATACATCTTTCTCTTCAGCATTCATCTCCTGAAAAAGGTAATCGCCTGCATAACCACAGTCTGTTACCACGTCTAAGAAAACTAATAATAATTCCATATCATCTAACATCTAGTTTATATTCATATTTCTCTAATTGTTACAAGAATGGATTTTTTATTAAATAGTATCTGAAAAAAATAGTGATTTATGATTTAGGTGGACAAATTGGAATTTGTTATATGTCTCTTTAGACTCAAATCTAGTCATTCAAACTTTTTTTTTATAACATACACTTCTTAAACCATCTAATGTTACAGAATGTCCCATATTCTGGATTTTTCTGTTTCCTCTTAGTATCAATTAACTTATTCCTCTATAGCCCCTGTATTTCCTGTAAACTAGAAGTTAGGTTTAGAGGCTTGATTAGATTCAGGTTAAACATTTTTGGCAAGAACACTTCATAGATTATTTAGAAAGGGCATGTAGTAATGTCTACAATGTACTTTGAAATGCATCAAAATAAAATGGATAAGGAGATGGATAGATAATGTGATAAAGTGAGTAAAATATTGAGTATAGATTTTCATCATAAAATTCTTTCATTGTTGCTGTATGTGTGTTTGAAAATTCACAATAAAACATTAGGGCAAAATGCTTTGTCAGTAACATTTACCTCATATATCAAGAGGCAGGTAATGTCAGGTTGTAGCATTATCATATGCTAAGTTTGATCATTTGTTAAAGTAATGACCACCAGTTCTTGTCTTTGCAGTTTGTAAATAATCTATAGGGCATGATTTTGCCACTGGATGGATATCCTCTTCTACAGCAACCTTTTGTCAGTGGTCTTAGCATCAATTGATGCTTACCTAAATGAGTTATTCCATTAGGGTTTGCAAAATAATCATGATCTTATTTAGCATTCCTTCAGCATTTATTAGCTAGCAGTTTTTCTGCAAAGAACTTTGATTTTTAGGTATTCTTCTAATGATAGCTAGCTATGTAAGCAAATTTCTCAAAATAATGACTTTTGTTGCTGCCATTAGCTAAATGTTCTAAAGCAGCACAATTCAGTGGAAATATAATGTAAATGACACGTAATTTAAAATTATCTAGTAGTCACATTTTAAAAAGTAAGAGATAACTAAAATTAATTTTAATAATATATTTAGCAAATATGTATTAACACTTCAACATTTAATCAGTACTTTTAAAAATTACAGAGACCTCTTTCTCTCTCTCTTTTTTAAGTAGGCTCCACACCTAGCATGGAGCCCAATGTGGGGCTTAAACTCAACCCTGAGATCAAGACCTGAGCTGAGATCAAGAGTCAGACACTTAACTGACTGAGCCACCCAGGCACCCCCCTTCCTTCCTTCCTTCCTTCCTTTCTCTTTCTTTTTGTACTGATTTTTGGAAATCTAGTCTGTATTTTACACTTGAAGCACATACCATTTCCAATCAGCCACATTTCAGGTGCTCAATGGCCACATGTGGCTAGTGGCTACCATATTGGACAGTCTTAAGATAAATCATACTTGAAACAACACTTCAAATTCAGCTCTAAGCAGTCTTTCCAAAGACATCACTTCTCCCGTGACCCACACACAGCAAAGCAAATCAGATGGCAAGTAACAAAAACTTCGCACTTGGTCTGCTTAATAGAGCAGCTTAGGCTGATAGCAAAGATTTGGCTAGGTAAATAAGGAACTGTACCTAGGGCTTTCATAAACCTGGTCACATTGCAGCAGTTGCCTGCCATGGGGGGAGCACCAAAGGGATTGTCAAGATGTTCAAAAATATATAGGGTAGAACAGTGAAGAATTTGGAGGACAAAAACTAGCCAACTGTGTCAGGCCATCAGCCTCCATAAGAGAAGGGATTTTTTTGTCTCTTGGATTTGGCACATAGAACGGTGCCTTGACATATAACCTAATCACAGTTGGTGAGGCTAAATTCCCATCCCACACTGGGATTTCAGGGCTGGGCTCCAATCCCAGACAGGGACTAGGATACCAGGAAAATGAACTGGCCAGAAAGTGGAAGGGGACTAAGGTGCAGCTCTCAGGCCCCTGCAGGTGATCTGCAGAATACCGCTATCAGAATCCAGTTTTTGGGTGCCTGGGTGGCTCATTTGTTAAGCACCTGCCTTCGGCTCAGGTCATGATCCCAGGGTCCTGGGATCGAGTCCCACATTGGGCTCCCTGCTCGGCAGGAAGCCTGCTTCTCCCTCTCCCAC